ACAAAATATAATTCATGGGTATTTTTCATACCCGCGGTCACTTAACTCGTCAAAAATACCAAGTATACAACTGGTCGGTCACCCGTGTTGATTCGGATCTTTCATCCTACAACATGGTTGGGGACCAGAGGAACACAAATAGCATGCGACTCACCAGTGATGATCTTGTGCCTCTGGGATGACTGGAAAATGATGCCGCTGCTGCCCGGTGGAAGTCATCAAAGCCCCCTGCATGCTCCTGCTATAAAGAATAAGAAAGCAATTACAATCTATTGTTAAAATTATAGAGATTTTTAATTAACAAATTTCAAAGTATAAATTTATACTTACGTTGTTCGCTCGTGGTCCACCGCCCGATACCCCCCCGCGGGTACTGCTGCTGGTTCCCAGGATCATGTTCAGAAACTGTAAGAAAACTGTAAGAAAACAATTAGAATCTATTATCAAAAGTGTAGAGATTTTTAATTAAAAATTTCAAAGTATAAATTTATACTTACATTGTTTGCTCGTGGAGCATCGGCCAATAAGTCCTCTTCGGTGATGCACCGACTCTAATTCCGGTAACGAGGAGTTTAAATTTCAAATTGAAAAAATAATTAATTTGATTGGAAAGTATTAAATTAGATTACCGCGACCGAAGATTGAAATCGGCGAACAAATGACTCTATTATCGCGATTCAGAAAACAAGGAGAGCCACGATGCTCTGGAAATAATATAATAATACTGCGTAAGAAACACTGCTTCTATTCTCGCGTTTGCCTAACACCGTGAACGATAACGTACTCGGGGTCACTTTGCCCCGAGAAACAAACTTGTTGCTACGCACGATCACTGAATCTACCGGCCGCATTGCGCGCGGCCAACAAATTGCCTGGAAAGAAAACAGCTGAAAAGAAAGGGACAGGAGATAAGAAACACAACAAGCACGCCTGTGCTTTGCCTATCGATTTTCTTTTTTCTTCTTACTAGAGCTCGTCAACGAAAACACTGTTTTACTTAGTAGGTACTGTTGTATACATAGTTTGTCCCGTACAAGATCAATGCCACGAAGGCGAAATATTCTCAATCAATGAGAATTTCAACGACAAAATATTATCTACGAAAATAATTACGTACAAGTAATTATTCAATTTATAAATATTATATCACTAAATTTCATAGTTAGAGTTGTAAGCATGATTATGTTTACTTCATCGAATGTGAGAATATCCGATAATTTTTATAAATATTCCGAAATTTGCAAAAATTAAAGTTCGTTAAATATTTATGCTTTAATAGCATATTCCAACTACGTGGTTTCTACGTTTTCTTAAACTTGCATCGAAATATATATGCAAATTGCAATTACAACAATTCATAAAGAGATATAAACGATCAATTAAATAAATAACACTCGGAAATATTAAATCGCGATCAGAATACAGTTAAATATAAACTATTCCAATCTACCGACGCCATTTCTGTATACTTCGATAGATATCGAAGCGGATAAAAAGTTTGTCAAAGATTTTCATAATTTATCTTAACAATGGCCGATTATAAAATTATTATCATGCTTGCAAGGAATAACGTAATAAAGAGATAAAAATATATAAATATTGATTATTTAGATTGTTATATTGATATATTGATTGTTTAGAAGTTACCAATATTCCCTCCAAAATTTGTCGACTCGTCTGCCATCTGTTATGGCGTCGTTTACGCGCCAATGAAATTTTCCATGGCGTCGAATTTCAATCAGAGACTGCAACAGAAATGAAATACAAATTAAATCATAATTAAACAATAGTTGATAATAATGAAGAAATATTAAAAGGTTAGAAAGACGTATGTACCTCGTTGGTCGCGAAACGTCGACACGTCTTGACAGGTTCCAACAAGCCTTATTATTTCTTAATTTCGAATTCCAATAAGAGACTGCAACAGAAACGAAATAACGATGCATTAAAGTACGCAAACGATTATTAGAATTAAGTAATGATTAAATCGAGACCGTATTGCAAGAGATCGTAAGTATGTAGTAATACGCGAGTAGTAATAGTGGAAGGATAAACAGGTTAGAAATACGCACCTCGGTCGCGAAACGCCGATACGTCCTGACACGTCTTGCCATGTTTATTTTCAAAGTAGGAATGATGGCCGTCCAGGCCGTCCGCTGTGCTCGGCAATGCTCGCGAATTAGGCGGCGGGGTGGGGGCAGCTCCGATGTCTCACGAAGCTTGCATTACGAATCCGAGCGCTGCCTCAGGTAGAAGCCGCGGATAGACTGATTTTAGCAAATTATTTACAACTTTAACTAGTCAAGGAATCGCGAATAATTCGTAGCTTTCAACTGGTATGCATTTACAGGCACTAACTGCTGCCTATCACACTAATTCAGTGAGTTTCTCAACTGACCGTTATCCATGAGAAGAGGCCGCTAAAAATCAGCTCCGAATTTTCAGGTCGGTATGGCAGTCAGATTGGAGACAGCCAGCCACCGAAAGTCCATGTAGGGTTTACTCGTTACATCCAATGCATTTTTTCGGCTCATGTCTTAGGGGCTCTAGAGCCCCATTATTATTTCGATGTCACTCGCGACGTTACCAACAGTTTACAAAAAACGATCATAGCGCTGATTGTGGTAGAATTTGAAATTACAGGAATTCTTTTGTTTTTTAACGGAATGAAATCTGTACTGCCCAGAATTGGGCATCGATCGATTAATGGAATTAATCGCTTATGGCGGTTGACTATTGAAGTATGTAATCGTTAATCAGTAGCACTCACGGTTAATATTATTAACTATAGTAATACCATAGTATAGTAAATTACTAGCAAACGTAACAAAGTTTGTAGCAAGAAAGTTCTCCTGGTTCGTTGTCAATTAGTATTAATTCCACGTAGACTCGACCGTGTCTATTCGATAATGCCTCCATCTGGCAAAGGAAACGAAGGACAACGCTTAACAGTGTTCGCTGTCCTATTTAACATAATCGCAGTATGCAAAAAAGAATACGGGATCTAACGAGAAAATCGTTTTTTCACTCCTTCATTAGTGCAACAATTAATGAATGCTCATTCGCTTATCTGATTTCATCGGATTCTCGCGTAATCTTCCTGTGGTCTTTAATTATAGCTCGTTGCACTTGCGGACTTTGAGAAAAAAACAACCAACCGCACGCATTGTTTATTCATCGATCGCGTGGACGATTGAATTTAAAGATGTTCGTGCAAACGAGGAATATAATTTACAGAATCTAGATAATTACTATCAGATTTTGTACCCGTAAATGAAAAGAATATTGTCTGGAGACAAGGTCAATGCTGGAGAAACAAAAATATGCTTATCCTTCGTTTACATGGCAGATTGGTTCCGTAATAGTCTCGTGTAAATTGAAACTAATGTTTCTAGAACCATTCTTTGCTTCCCACTACGAAATTAATAGTTTACCTTTCAACGTACATATTGCAATTACTTTTTTACCTAAACACTAAATATTCGAAACTTTATTAAAAACAATTTTCATTCGTTTGAATTAAAAGTTATTCGTGACATTTCCATTACTATTTTATTCGATCGTTCGATTCTCTTATCGAAGCTTGTTTCTTACATGCATTTTATTCTCCATAAATTTGATCAATGTACGGTAAATTTTCAAATTCCTCAACGTCGCATCTGTTTGCATTCCTTCGACCCTGTTAAATCGAAATCGTGCAATTTGAATATCGTGTAAATCCGTAAACATCGAGGGTTCTCAATCTTTTCAAATTTCCACAATGCTGAAACAAAACTTGATAAATTTCTTCGTATCGAAAATATGCGATTAGCAAAACATTATTACAAAGCGCACGTAATCCTATTCTATTTACGATAGAAAAACTAAAGGGAAAAAATAATTTCTTATTCAAATTGGAGATAATTCTATCTGCAGAATTAAAAACGACGATCACTGATATTTTTTTTATTGCAATATTTATTTATTTGGACCTGCACGAATCATAAAAATGGACGAAAAGAATAAATGAAAAATGACTGATGCCTGTGTCAGAAAATAAGACCCACAGCATAGAAGAATTCACCGTACAGAGTCGATGCAAAAAGAAAAGGTAAATCTTCAAATATGGAAAGTTTTGTGTTCGTATTTTTCAGAATGTTATAAATCTTCTGATGTTGACCAACATTTTGTTTTTCAAGAGTTCTTTGTCAAGTATCGGAAATGTAAGAAACTCTAGTGCAAAGGATTACATATACATATGTATGTATAGATAAGAAATGGAATTTAATAAATTAAAGAAATTGTGAGGAAAGTAATTCAAGTAATTTCTGGGAAATGGAAAAAGTTGTCGAGAAAATGTCGAGAACCTCGGTTATTCGATAATTTCGAACGGTACCTCCGAGGTCTTTAACCATGTGGAGAGGCTTCGCCTGGTTGCAACCTCGCGAGAATTCCCATGGCCCATCTTGCATTCAAATGTGTTGCCCGTATTTTTTTGTTTACACTTATCTCACGTACAGGATATTTTTACCTCCTGCGGTTGGTTCGCGTATATAAAGTCACTGGGGGATTCACCTTACACGCGCATACCAGCATTGCATCTTGAGGAAGCGAGGTCGGTTTTGACAAAGTTAGAACCGGTATCTCTCCGATTTCCGCTTTTAACCGTTTCCGTGAAAGCTGAACTCTCTCAGTGGAAAAACATCGTCCTCGTCGAACGGTCGATTTTATTCAAAAATCGCTCAACAACGCTCAAATATCGCCTAAATTATAACCAAAGATTCAGTGGAAATTGTGTCGTGAAAAATCGCCGTTGGTCGTGGAAGTTGGAATGAGTGGAATGAATAACTAAGAAATAATATTTCATAAATTGCAAAATAAATGCAAAAACTTTTCAATTTCAATTGTAAACTAAGAATTCGAAAACAAATCCAACAACTATTAAGTTTTCCAAGTGAAAAGAATGAATAGTAAAAGAAAAATTTCGTGAGATTTTTCGAAAAATTCCTTCCAATAACGATACGTTTATTTTCTACTTAGTTTTCTCACGAAATCGAATCGCACGATGAGAGTGATTTCGTTGCATTTTCTTATTTTCGTTGGTGTAATTTGTGCCGATGACAAAGTGAGATACGATGGGTATAAATTGTACAAGGTTTTTGTGGCGGACGATGCCCATCTCGAACTGTTGCAAACGATGCAAGACGGTGATGGTTACAATTTCTGGGCACAACCGAGAGTCAACTACACCGCGAACGTTATGATATCGCCAGAGAAGATTCAGGAATTCATGAAGATCGCAAACACGACGCGACTCGATCCACAATTGATGATGGACAACGTGCAAAATTACATCGACGATGAAAATCCTCGTCGTAACGTGAGGGGCACTTTCGACTGGCTGGGTTATCATCGATTGGACGAAGTAAGATAAGAAATATTTAACAATAACATTTACTTGTAGCATTAACAAAGCTTTGTGAGAAACCGACGAAATAATTTACATTAACTTCATGTTTGCCTTCATTTGCAATTTTAAACTAAAAGTTTATCATACTTTTACATAAATCGTGGAATCATACTATATTATACAACTACGATATCATATCATACTAGTATATGTAGTCAGCGATATGTTAATATGAGAATACATAAATAATATGATATTATTCATAGGAGGATAGGATCGATTCTAGGTGGCAAAATTATACGAAAATCAATAAGACCAATTTGTTGATGGAGGCTTCGTTAAAAAGTTATTAACGTTTCAAGTTCCGCCTGTAGAACGGGAATCTGCGAACAGCTGCGAACAGCTGCGTATCCAGTGTCTGCGAATCCAGACTGCATAAAATTGTAAGACTGTCGATACGTCGGTAAGTAGAGTTTTTCATGCTGAATGAGAACCACTATCACGCGCACTCCGCCGTTCTACAGGCGTAACTTTAAACGTTAATAACTATTTAAGAAAGCCTCGATCAACAAATTGGTATTTATTATCGACTTTTGTCTTATTTTGGCTCCTAGAATCTCCTATTAAAATTTTTCCTAGTGATGGCCGCGAACACTCTGCAAATATTTATGAGGGTACATACATACATACATACATACATACATACGTACGTACGAATAAAATGAAATGGCTCATTGTCGGTATAAATGAGTTTTTCCCTTCAGATTTATCGTTGGTTGGATTCTCTGGCAACTCAGCATCCAGAAATCGTGAAATCGATAACCGGCGGGAGCAGCTTTCAAGGACAAAGTATAAAAGGTGTGAAGCTGTCGTACAGAGAGGGAAATCCTGGCGTGTTCGTCGAAGGTGGAATTCACGCCAGGGAATGGATATCGCCAGCCGTCGTAACGTACATTCTGAACGAATTGATACTTAGCGACGATCCTCGTGTCAGATACATGGCAGAGTCTTACGACTGGTACATCTTTCCGATATTCAATCCGGATGGTTACGAGTACACGCACACCACGGTAAAGAAATCTTTAAAAAGAACCTTGAACGCATTTAGATTGTAAATTCTCAAGCCCCTGTTGTTCCATTTTCGATATTGTCCAGTAGATTTAAATTAAAATAAATCTAGATAGAAATCTCGATTCTTGATTGCTCACGTAATCGTTTAATCTCTAATCGAGAAGGTTTAATTTGTATACAAACAGATAAAAACTGTACACGAACGTGACCAAATAATATTCGTCGATAAGTTGTACCAAATTTACCGATCGCTGATAAAATAATCTTATATGAGTTTTACTTATATGTATGTATCGAGTTCTTATTAGTTTTATCTCGGGACAATGACTGTCGTTTGTTATCTATGTATATGTAATTAGTCAAGAAATTTCAATCAACCGCAAACTACGTAAGTAAGTACATTCTCGTACGATTGCCTGATAAATACCAACGCAATAGGTGATAATTGTCTGGAAAAACTATCGATAAAGCTTACTTGTTCGATAAAAAGAAAATCACAGTGCGAAGTAAGTACTTACACGATTTTATGTTTAGAATCGTCTCTGGCGAAAAACGAGACGACCGACCGGAAGGGGATGCTTTGGTGCCGATCCAAACAGAAACTGGAACTTTCACTGGGCAGGTGCTGTAATACTCATTATTAATGCATTCTAGATAATATCAGGCATTTTGAAACTTGAATCTGTTAACATTCACCTATCCATTATATTATCAATAAATATCAGATTTCCAATACCAGATTACAGCCCCAGATCATTTCAGACTCACCGCCAAAGGACCCCGCACAGATACATATACATATGTAGGTACTGTGTATTAGAAAATGGCCCACGATTAAATTAGCTGAACTTTTGATATGATATAATTCATAATATCTTGATGAAAAGTTCCAATGGGCCCCGTTTAACTCGTAAATTGAACAGTTTCCGAGATTAGGGGGATCAAAAGTGAATAATAGTGCTTCTTGTTCTAGACTAGCACGTTTGAGCATATTTCAGTGTAAGAAGCACTCTTGTCACCCTGACATTTATCGAGTTTTCACACTATTATTGATCGTTTCAGAGGGTGGTACAAGCAGATATCCGTGCAGCGAAATATACGCCGGCGATAAACCGTTCTCCGAAACGGAAACAAGAACCATGTCCCAGTACATCGGCAGCATCCATGAGAAGATATTCGCCTACATAGCGTTCCATAGTTACAGTCAATTGTTGCTAATCCCTTACGGCCATACCAGCCAAAAGGTCTCCAACTACAACGATCTGTTACAAATAGGAAACTATTCCGCGAACGTGCTGTCAAAGAGATACGGAACGAAATACAAAGTCGGAAATATCGTCGATGTTATATGTGAGTAGATCATTCGCGCTTGAATAGCGAATAATTTAAATAAGCGAAGGTTGGCGTTTGCTATTCGATTCGACGTGCAACAGCAAGGTTGCAACATCCAGCTGAGACAAATTCCAATTCGTTTGGCTCGATTTTAATTTAAAATTGAAAAAATCTAACATCGAATCGTAGTAGAAACTGAAATTTCTAAAATAAATAATTAATCTTGAATAAAAATAATTAATGGTAAAATTAATAATATTAAATTATTTATCGAAGAAGCTATTAATGATAATAATAATAATGAATGACCTGCTTATACATATACGTATTTGCAGTTGATCGAATAGATAATGTTTATAGTCGAATAATATTTCTAATTCTTTCAATTATTACTATAAAATTAATTAAAAGTATAGGAAGTCCTATACTTTTCAATAAAATTAAATTTGTGATTTTTGTAGACATTGCATCCGGAGGATCAATGGATTGGGTACGAGGAACCTACAAAACTCCAATAACATTTACTTATGAACTTCGAGACACAGGAAGGTATGGTTTTATTCTACCAGCAAATCAAATTATACCAACTGCAGAGGAAACCCTGGATTCTTTGGTCGCCATGTTCGAACAAGCTGCGAAACTCGGCTATGGAGAATCGAAAACCATAGTTATTTAAATATAATTAATTTTACACATATTTCAAATTATCAGCTTTTAAATACACGTACTATTTATGCAATTAAATACACGAACTTTTTTTCTTACCTAATAATAAATAGCAAAATACTGAACGTTATACTGACGTTCGTCATCGACAGACGTTTAATTACAAACATACGTTTCATTACAACGTGTCGGTTTCTATGTATTCTTTAACGTTTTGCCTTATCTCGATCTCTTAGATATTCGCCAAAATACATTGTATAGGCTCTGAAGAGTATCGGTTGTTATCGCGATCTTGATTTCTCCCATGCGTTTGAACAAACAGTATGTTTCCACGTATAATCGGATAACTGAAATACGCGGCCATTATTCTTATCTACTATTGTACGTCGAGGCAGAAAAGGCCAGAAAAATTAGTAATGTAGTTTTCAGATTAGCATGAAATTTGGAATATTCAAGTTTTCGAGAGCGTAGATCATTAATCTACGATATCAGGATTTGAAATGTGAAAATGCCCTGAAAAGTCCTTGAAAATCGAGAATATGACGAGATCATGCGTCAGAATACCGACGGACAATGTTAATAAAGTTGCATCGAGGAACGAGACTGAAATCTGATGTTTGCAATCAGGGTTCGAGGGGAGCGTCGAGTACCCCGGAATTAAAAGTCGTCTGCAATTGATTGTGAAACTAATTGTAAGACAACGCGTCGACAAAGCTTACTGGCGTAAGCTCGGATAGATAATTCGTTCGAATCAAGTGCGATAAGATGGATTTAGAGCCAATGATCGTGTCTGTTAATTGATCAGTGATATGATTTTTGAATAACGATCCACCAGAAATGATCGTTGGTGCCGTGTGCAGATGAAGCGTTTAAATACAACCAAGAAAATACCAACAACGCATTCTTCTTTCGTGACCGCGAAGGGTAAGATAATCATTGTGTTCTCGGATTATATTAAACGTATTAATAAACTGTGCTTGTATTCTTGTTTCTCGCGGCTCAGATTTCCAATAACCTACACAATAATCGAAACAGTACAGTTCGATTACAATCTCTTATTTTCAAATGATATTCTAATTGTTGATCGTGTTGATCATTCTTCAGGAGCAGCATCATGTGGAAGGTAATTCTCGTCGCCCTGTTCGCTTTCGCGACAGCCGAAAAGGTCAGATATGATAACTACAAGGTGTTTCGTGTGATTCCTCGTACGGAAGAGGAAGTACAAACTGTACGCGACTTGGATACCGTATCTGACTCGGTAAGCGTATAAATTACATTCTACTCTGAATACCAATATGTTCAATTCGAAGTGTATAGTACCTATACGTTACTTTCCATTATCCTGCTATTCGAATCTATTTTGGTGTCTTTCGATTCAGTCGTGCTGAATCTGTTCTAATTATGTATGTACCTCACATTTCATCGATTCTGTCAAAATACTCAATCGTTTCTTTCTTTCTTTCAATTGATATTTTCAATTGACAGTACTCCTTCTGGAGGGAACCAAACGCCGCTGATGGCTCTGCCGACGTGATGGTGGCGCCCCACAAGGTCCCAGAGTTCACCGAGATGATGGAGAATTTGGGAATCACGTACGAGATCTTCGTCCCTAACGTTCAAAGCTTGATCGACAACGAAAAGTCAGAAGTGGAGACCCAGGCTGGGTTCGATCTGAACAACTACCACAATCTCGATGAGATCTACTCTTACCTGGACAGTTTGGCCAAGGCACACCCAGGCAAAGTCCAAGTGATCGTAGGTGGAAAGACGTACGAGGGTCGTCAGATCAAGGGAGTGAAGCTGTCGTTCGGCAGCAACAAGCCTGGAGTCGTAATCGAGGCTGGAATACACGCTAGGGAATGGATCGGACCTGCCGCCATGCTCTACATGATCAACGAGATGCTGAACAGCAAACAAGCCGACGTTCGATCGCTCGCAGAGTCCCATGACTGGTACATCTTCCCCGTCACGAATCCCGATGGCTACGTCTACACACACACCAACGTAAGTCGATACAGAGATTTCGTTGTTAAGGACAGTTAATCCGTGTCTTTTGCGTTTCAGAACCGTATGTGGAGGAAGACCCGCAAACCTTACGGAGTTCTTTGCTCCGGCGCTGACCCTAACAGGAACTGGGGCTACAAATGGATGGGTAAGTTTAACCTCCTGTTAAACGCGTCGCGTCGCGTCCCGTCGTTTCAGTTTATTTTCACATTTCTCGCGAAGGAGCTTTTCTTCCAATATTTTTCTCACCAGGTACTTACTATCCAATTCGAAAAAGTAACAAACTTATTATATAACAACTTTCTTCGTGTAAAAGTTTCTACAAATGATAGGGAAGACCAACCATCTAGATAAATATTATGTTTTTTTTTTCATTTTCAGAAGGTGGTTCCAGCAACAACCCGTGCGCAGATACCTACGCCGGAAGCTCAGCTTTCTCCGACGTTGAAACAAAATCCTTCTCAGACTACCTCCGATCGATTTCCAGCAAATTCTCCACTTACCTCGCTTTCCACAGTTACTCTCAGCTTCTGATGTTCCCCTACGGACACACCAAGCAGCATTTGGAAAATTACGACGACTCTGTAAGCAAAACAATCGGACCAAAGTATTAGAAAAGTAATAGGAATTCTTCGAAACTGTAAAAAGTTAATTACATATTATTAGAATCTATGGAACGTTGCGTTCAATTTATTCCTCAAACGCGTATAAATATGTTCTCCTCTTATCAGGAAAGTGTTGCGCGAATCAGACTTTATCCAAATTCCTGATTGCGTCGATCGTTCGTTAATCGATACTTTGTTTCAGTTAAAAATTGGCACCAAGACTATTCAGGCTTTGGCAACACGATACGGAACGCAGTACAAGACTGGAAATATTGCTGAAACGATTTGTAAGTAGAATCAAGTTTCTCGAAAAATATAAATTTTCTTTCGAAATATTGTTCACGTTTGAAATTTAAAGAGTTATCTAAACTAAAGAGGAAATTAAACAATTTAGAGTGTTTCTAAAGAGAGTTTCCATTAAAGTACACATCTTATTTTCATGGTATTGCAAGATAGTTAAGTTTAGTAAAACCATAGTAAACAGCCACTAATCTAATGATCCACTTCAACAGTTTTTTTAGTCCTATTCCTATCCACTTACTGTCAGAAAGATTGAAAGGATCGTTGTTCGCATCATTTGTTATTTATTTGTTTCAGACGTCGCCAGCGGAAGTTCAATGGACTGGGTAAAGGGAACCTTTCACACGCCTGTCACTTTTACCTACGAGTTGCGCGATACTGGTCGTTATGGTTTCTTGCTGCCAGCTAACCAAATTGCGCCCACTGCCCTGGAAACTCTCGACTCTTTGGTCGGTTTGTTCAAAGAAGCGAAAGCAAGCGGTTACAATTAAAGATACGTCGAATAAATGGATTATTCAAACGAACGGAATAAACGCATAAAATATTTAATGCGACGATAAATATATGTATGTATCTATCATTTCATTAGAGCAATAAAATTTCCTCATTTTTTTCAAGTATTTATATTGTCGTTTTCTTTTCTGTCCTTGGCGTTCCTTGATACACGATAACCTTATTACTATACATATAGAAATATTATAGCATCAGGAACAAAGTATCGGTTTCATTCTACGCTGTTTGCGTAGATACATTAAATGTTTCTACAACATTCTTATTTTTCCTTTTTACTACGATAATAAAATACTGTACAATCTCACGTCGCGAATAAAGGATAGAGATTTTAAACGGATAATACATATGTATATTCGTATTCCTAAAAAATATATTTACCGAATTATTCTTATTCTAATGTACGTATGTATGTATGTATGTATGTATGTATGTATGTAATATGTAGAATGTAGTTTTATAATTATGATTGGGTCTATAATCTAATTTGTTAAACGACCAGCGATTTTGCCATCGCCTTTAACTCCTTCCTTGAAACCTTTCCGGAATGTGTGTGCGGAAGACTCGGTAGAAACTTTACTCCACCGCGTAGTTTACAATGATCCATCAAAGTAGTTGCCACCTTGTTAATTAATTCTTGCGCTGTCACCTGGTAAATAAATGAATAATCATCGAGCAATCGTTGTCCGAACAATCAGTCGATCTTTAGGAAATTTTAATGCTAATGATAAAAAAGGTATCTTCTATATGTATTATGTATAATATTACTACCAAGAGTTTTCTAAGGTAATACTTATGGCATAAAATGCCAACATTTTCTAATAATCAAATCCCAGGAACGAATAATGTCCTACTCTGATTCAGGTCAGCAAGCCGTGACATACCAAGTAATATTATTGTATAATACTTGTTCGAGCATACCTCCTTATTGGGTACTTTGCTGACAAACGCAACAGGGTGCTCGTCATCTACTGGATGAGGAATACTAACAACTGCGGCTTCCAGAACGCCCGGATGCGACTGTAACAGATCCTCGATTTCAGTCGGTGCTATTTGATGTCCTCGAAATTTAATAATTTCTTTCAATCTGTCGACAATGAACAACTCCCCGCCTTCGTTGTAGTAAGCGAGGTCGCCCGAATGCAACCACCCTGAAATCAAAGTTTTTAAATAGGAAATTATTATTGAAAACGGTTGATTTGAAATTTTCATTGGGATATTTATTTATAAATTAATATAATTATTTTTTTAATTTTAACAAAAAAGTGTAGTTTGTAATAGGTTGAATGTTATTACTTGTATTTATTGGAACAGTTATACGACGTATTTGACATCTACTGTTGCAAACTAAGGACGAATAGGGTAATAATGATCGCTTCGATAAATTTACTTTTAATAAATACTTTCGACACGATAATATCTAGGTTTTTACGCGATAACAGATTATTAAAATATTCATTTGTATTTCTTTGAAAGTACATAATTGAAAATTTTTTATACCCCACACTCACCATCTTGATCAATTATGTTTTTAGTAGCTTCGGGATTCCTGTAATATCCCGTCATCATTAAGGGTGTCTTTGCGCAAAGCTCTCCGGTCTCATTCGGGCCCAGGATCTTTCCCGTATCAGGATCAATGATTTTTATTTCACAGTTTGATTTTACAACGCCGCAAGAACCGCTCGTACTATTTACCATTTGAGCAGAAACCAACCCACCCAGTTCCGTCATACCTAACACGAGGTAATTGGTATTCATTAGATAAGGTTTCTCTAATGACCGGGGGGCATCGAACCAATAAAATTAATTCATAGAAACATTGACTTTGTTTCTATTCAAGTTATTTTTGCTTTTCGGTAATTCCTAATCAATTATTAATTAACGTAAAAGTAAAGTGACTCGATCGTATCAAGAGAGGGAGTTGATTCGAGCAATCTTTCCAAGCGTAGATTTTTAGCGTTGTAAAGTTTACCGTATGCTTGCAGAACCGTCGCATGCTGCAGATGTTTTCTCAACACATCTTGAGATTCCTGCTTCAAGACAGAACCACCGACAAGAATAACCTTTATGGACGATAGATCGTAGTTTTGCAGGTCGTGGAATCGTATAACTCGATTGGCCATGCTGGTGCTCAACAATAACCACTCGACCTACACCATATAATGATCACAAAATGAAAAAACAATTTGTAATTTATATAATTATTCCAACAAGGAGAGTCTTTTATTGGATTTCGTTCAGTGGTAGAGCTTGAAAAACTGAAACTAATAATATCCGGGTTTGAAGGTAGACGCCTTTTATAGTTTCCGAAATATTTATTTAACGTTAACACGATTGATATATGGTATCGTAGAATTATTTTAAGTTGAGCTCTGAGAGGTATGCAGTTACAGCACTCACTCGTGCTATGCTCCGTCCTTTGCCTATGCATTCTTTTCAAAAATAAGAAATAAGAAAAAATAAGGACCACCCTAACCCACCTCCACAACAAACGAAGATATATGTATATAGTATGTATGTACCTTATATTTCTCGATCATTTCGCAGGCTGTTTTCTCATCGAAATCCGGAGGGATGATCTTCTTGGTGACGCACGTAATAGATACACAGCTAAGTAACGTGCCACTGACCCAGTATAAAGAACTGAACCACATCGGTCTTTGGGAGTGAATTTTTAAACTCCCTTCCGACAGCAAAACGTTGAGCAGAGCCCGATGTGGAAGTTGCGTGCCCTTCGGCATCCCTGTTGTCCCGGAAGAGTAAAGGATCACCGCTGTTTCACCAAGATTATCGATTTCCACGCACTGGAAATTCTCCACCGTCGATTTACTGTGGCCCTTCATCAGATCCGCGAAAGACGTCGTGCCGGGGTAGTTGCCAAACGTCACCACTTTAGTATGGAAAACTTCGATTTTCGACGCCTCTAACGTCACGCCGACCGATTGCTCGTTCGCGAAAATAATTTTCGGTTTCGTCAACGTCATGAAATGACGAGCTAGATCTGAAAACATCCATAATTACAGAGTTGTTACAATTGTAAATACAACCGTGGACTCCGTTTCATGTTAGAGGCGTTGTGTTTGTTACGTAAATCCGAAGAATCAACTGATGCAAGTAAGCACTTGTTTATCGAGTTGTCATTAAACGAACCACTCTTTTTCTGCATTTAGATAACCATTATATTTATCATTATTTTAACGATACGTATTGGACAAAATGGAAATTACATTAAAAGTTAAAAGCCAGAGAAAGATTAATATCTAATTCGAATCTTTGAATGAAAACCGAAATTTGAAGAATATCTTGATCTCGCTTTCCAACGAACCCTCGTGAAATAGATAATTGCCCGAGGATATCATAAATGAAATACTTACGAGTGTTCATTTCGTAGTCCCATGGATTGAAAGCAGCCCCTATGAACAATGCAGCTAAGCAGGGTGTGAAACTGTCACGGTGATTGTGCGTGGAAACCGCAACAACATCGCCCTTCCCTATCCCTTGTTTCTGCATCCAGAGCGCGCATTTTATTGCACGATCGAGCATCTCCCCAAAAGTCTCCTCGACCCCCGTAAAAGTCTCCAGCTGAAGCATTCAATTGTTCTGGATGACTTTTGTAATTTCCAACGTTTCTCATATGTAAATAGAATTTAATACAGCAGAGATCCTCGGGGAGATAATTAGTTTAATATATTCTCCTGTCCGAACTTTTTACTATTTACAAATATCAAATTCAAATAGTAGATTCTAGTAGGGATCTTTGATATATTTTTTATTTATTAACAAAATTAAAGACCTTAGGCTCTCCATTCGAGCCCATAGATTCGGTTACAATATACATATGTGTACGGTAATAAATATGTAGTAATTTCTATTTATCAACGAATTTAAAGATCATTAGTTTCTATTGAAATCCGCCAATCCATATTAATAATAATAATAGTAACTAAATTGCAGTTTTTCAGTCAAAGTCTTAAAATACCTTATACACATAATAGCTTAGTAGCTAATCGTTGGAAAATCTAGGTTAAAATCTCACTTATACGGGACTATTCCTACCTAATTATTTATGTATAATAAAACGGTACATTTTCTAAATTAGCACCTTAACTGTGCACAAAACTCCAAAACGCTGATAACAAAAAGGACTGTGTGAGTGTTTTTATAAATTGTATTAATGCAACTGTGGCGGCTTCTTATCGTATGGAGGGATCGAGTAAGTGAGAAAAGAATGGCCAAAGAGAAAGAAAAGAAAGATGGGAGATGGTAAACGAGAAAATAAAAATGTGAAAAATGATCTTTGAAGCGAAGAAAGTTTTCTTTTCCTATTATTATGGACAATATACCAAGTTCTACTGTAACTAATGTTCTCATCACGGACACTATAAGATACTGAGAAAACCATTCAAGCATAGATTTTTTCCAGTTTTTGCATAGTAATTTGAATAAATAGAAAGGCATAAAAAACTCACTCAATAATTACAGTGTCACAGATGAAACATTTGTAAACAAACACTAATAAACAGGTAGATACGCGTTTTTCTGCTCTTTCTGAGTATATGGAATAGGTACACGTCCTTGATCGTTAGAGAAAGGCAAATCCAACCTTATTTTATAGAGCAACGTTTCAATCTCGTACCACATTGTAAGTTAGTAAAATGTCACCCTTTTAAGTATTCGTTAGAATATGATAAGGAACCTCTTAAAAAACAAATATGATATTTATAATATAAATATACAAATATTCTGTATTTTGTAAATGAACAAAAATGATCGAAATTTGATTTTCTATCTTACACAGAGTGAGTTACATGACTTTAAATATAATTATTAAGGTAGCTAACTCGATTTTTTTGGAAAATGGACTTGCGCCATTTGAAAAATAAACGGTTCATATGTATATGGACATACATATATGGGTGTCATGGCAGTCAAAGTGTTAACATTGAGCTAAAAATCTTAAAATAGAATAAATTTAACAATAAATTAGTCAGGAGTGAAAAAAGTAACGACGTTATTTCTTAGTAAATTTTTATGTTTTCTCAAAATCGGAAACTTGTAGCCCAGGTGGGTTATCTCTCCTACATAAAAGTCGTAACAAAATAAATCTTATGCCGGTGAAAAGAAATGTTTTTTGTTCGTTCCCGATGGCAATTAATCAGGAAGTGAACCAGGGCCGAGAATCGGGTATATTCATTGGCAGCGAGAAGACCGACAAAGGCAGGATTACACTGGTAAGTACTTATTAATCCAGCCGCGACGCGTCGCAACGCGCCTTGTCACAGAAGAAGAATGTCGAGGTCCATTGCGATAGCAGAAGAAAAGTCATATCAATGATTTAAATAATGCCTACACAATTTTAACTTTGATTATCTATTTTTTCATGTTTCTTTTTAATTTCAGGGGCCTAAAGAAAGATAAAAATTAAAAATTTTCTAACATTCAACAGACAATTCGTATATTCATTTACATGCAAAACTTCTTCTCATTCAACTATAAACGTATCATGTAATAATCTGTTGTTTCTTGAAAACGTTTCAACATTTTTTCATTCACAAGTTCGATTCTCTTTCGATTTCCGAGTCTTTTTTTCGTATTGATAATATCAGATTGCAATGTAACCTTGTGATAAATGACAGAGCAATAACGCGTTCGACCTTACACGGTCATTATTATTGACAGTATTCGCGTCCATCCGTCAATACATACTGGCATTCCAATGTCAGAATGGCTGTGAATACTTACGCTTGAATACCGCATCATTCTTTAATCGCCTTTCATCAGTCTCAGCCTTACATATTCAACAATACATTAATGAATTTTTTGAACTCATGGATTCATCAAATCAATAATTGGTACATAAAATGTATATGTATAATCCGAATTAATATATACAAAATTTATTATTTTTAATTAATAAATAGTTGTATTCCTCTAAACGATTTAATTAAAAAATAAATAGATCGTTGGCTTTTGAGAAAACTGTTAATTCGATGAGCAGTATTTGAACCCACGAAGTAAACTCTGAGTATTGGACTTTACTTGGATTCGTAACATTAATTCGTATGTAAAACTCCTTAACTCCTTTCTTTTATTATTAAAAAAACTTCATTAAACTTAAAACGTATATTTGTTTCTACACGTATGATAGAAAATTACTGTGACTGTGCTTAACTCTTGAAAAGAAACCTATCCAAACTCGCTGAAACTCTAACTGTTCGTTCACGATTCACTAGGTATGTACATACATATGTAAGTACATCAGTCTGTTGTGAGGCGCTTTTTGCGCTGCTTGCGAAATACACGCGTTCAATTATTTAAAGACGTATGATTACATGTAACCATGCGTTACGCAAAACCACAACTTTCATACAGCAAACAGAGTGAACGATTAATCGTCACAAGTTTTTCTTTGAAAGCAATTTGTCGAGACAGGTTCCGATCTGAGAAAGTGATCGTAACACTTTCAGTTTCCGACCTTCGAGAAAAGAAAGTATTGCGATCAAGGACAAAAGAAGATATATTTTTTCCACAAAGAAACACCCTTCAAAGAGCCTTCAAAACTTAATATTTAGTTATTTAATAAATTAACGTTAATTACATCGAACAACTTTGTAAAAAAATATTCAAAATTATTTAATTAGCTCCGTTTTTGGTACTAAAAAAGAATACTAAACTTAATTTATTATTAAACATCAATTTATTTCTTCCCTCGTTTAACGAAAATTTAAGGAAATGAGAATTATTAAATTATTAATTGGAAATTATTAAATGCTCTTACGACGATCTATTTTATCTGTCAATAAATCCAAACTTATTTTATCTCACTTATTTCTATCGATGTATTCGAACGATAAAGTGTATTCGTGTCTTAATTGGTTTGTATTGTTCAAACATAAATAGCAATTGTATCGATTTTGTTTTGAAAAAAAAATAGAAAAATATATTATGTATTGTCCAGAGACGAAAAGTTTACTCGTCAGTCTGATTATTTCTAGTATAATCTCCTTTCTACGGACACACCTTCCTGAATTATACAGGAAGGAGATTATACTATAACTAATCAGACACGCTACAAACAACTTCTTCGCTTTTATGTGACAGTGGAACGTTCAAATGCGACCACCATACTAATTTTATTACATTAATTTATGTTTTAAACATAAATATTAACAAAAACTTTAAATCGTTCGCTAACTATTAACTTTCTAACATTATGAATTTTAACTCAAAGAATTATTTATTTAAAAAAAAATAATATTTGTTGGAAAAAAAATGAAAAAAAACTCTGTACCCGGTTAGCTTCACAGCGTTACAAGCGAGACGTAGACAAACATTCCAGCGAATACGGTAAATAACATGTAAAGTGATATAATACATTATAAAGTCAAGAGTTTACTATTAGCATATTGTTTTACTAAAAATATCTATTTTTCAAATATTATATTACTTGAAAAGCGGCTAACACTCCACTTTTACACCACTAAATGTAATTTCCTGGAAAAAAAACTTGTACGATAATAGGTAAGCGAAAGAATGATAGTCTTTGAGAAATATACCATCTATAATTTAGACGACTGTAAGAAGTTTAGAAAATTTTTTTGAAAAATTTTATAACTACCCCAGAGAAGATAATATAGGAAAGTGCTTTTATCAAGTAGGATTTTTCTATTACACCGTGAGAAATTGTTCGACGTACCTGGCCGACGAAATCCGGGTGTTTCTGCATCACATCGAACATCGCTTTCCCAACGTTGGTGTAATTGATTACGCACGGAACTATTTTCCCTTTCAGCACGTTGTTCTCGATGATGAAAGGGAGATCCCCCTGGGAGCAATAACGAACATGGTTTAAGACCAACTTGAAATACTTTAAATTGGAAATAAAATGAAAACACAACGTTCAGGAGGATCTTACATTTTGCTGTGTATTTCCAGCGACCATGTTGAACGGAAAGGAGACGGGTAGTAAAGAATCTTGGACGCGATGTTTAGCACGTTGCAGGCGATGGAAAACTGACTGATTACGGCTAACGCTGTCTCTCGAACGAGTGCACGGAAAATGCTATGGCAAACGCTTCCTTCTTATTGTGTTTCCATACTACCTCCCCACCCCTCTCCATAGGTATCGGCGGTAAAACGCAGGCAAAAGCACATTACAACCACTGCATTTCATGACTCGTTCGAAGCTTTCATAATACATAGTAGTTATTAGTTCTGAATTGATTCAGATCTATCTATACATATAATTAGACAATAAAAGGTCGAAATAAAAACATACTATGTACCATATGTATATCTATCGCTATTGTTAGATAGGGTGTTTCTTATAATCTTGTTACGTTTCGTGTCTCACGATGATAAAAACTGTTCGCGTAATTACATATGTAATTCTCTAAGAATAATTCACTGTCATTCACGATCCATGGAATTACACGACTGAAATTTTTGAGACATTCTTATTTATTGTTGCGTAACAGTATCTTTATTTCTAATATAAATACATACTGTTATTTGTAATCGTTACGAAATATTTAACCCTTCGAAAAAAGTAACACTCGTTAAATGCGAAATAATTTCGACGAATCGGCCATAAAATACGTAGGGAAGATTTTAATTACGAAAGTGATACGACCATCCGGAAGTTTGATGAAAAATTGCTATGTAAGAAAGTGCGTCATCTTAGAAAGATGACTTGCAAATTTTCAATTGCAGGCTAACGCAGATGTTTAACGAAGGTTGCATTTTATCCTCAACCCGTAACTAGGACGTCGACGATGAGAAAGGAATAAATATCGAGCGTGATGTAAACGCGAAAAACAAAACAGTACCAGTTTGAAATAACGATTTCTGATTCCCATTCACGTGCAATTATTTCGTAACACGTTACAGATTACATATTACATAATCGCCAAGAAACGAACGCGTTTACTTTTTCGGAAAATGTAATTTTTACCGACGAATCGAAATTTAATATTTCCGATTCGGATGGAAGAAACCAAATCGTATGGAGAAAACCAAATATGTACAGCTATGGATATTAAAAATCTCCGAGCGACAGTTAAATTTGCCGGTGGGTCTGGGTTAGGTCTGGGGCTACATGTCAGCATCTGGCGTTGGAAATCTGCTATTTATTGATAATATAATAAATAAATGGTCGTATTTCAGTATACATATTAATTATATTAAACGATTTTAAATTTTTGCGCCGACAACGATCCAAAGCACAATTTTTATGTAGCGAAGATTTGGCTATTGTATAACTTTTTACTACTACTACTACTAAAGGTTTTTTTTTGTATCGTTGTTATGTATCAAATAAAGAAACATTACACTCTGTACGAGTTTGAATAATTTAGCAGAATTGTCATGTTTTATTGAGAAAAATATGGGTTGAACCGCTAGGTATACAATTTTAAGTGACAGCCACTGTATTGTTATCGTATTATGTTAGGCGATTTCCATGGATTCAGAGAAGGCCGTGTTTCGATTCAGTTGGGGCGCAGCGCGTTTTCCTTCTGCAGCCTTATGCCTCTGCGTTCCTCCAACTGTTTCCGTAACGCGTCCACTTCTGGCGAGCTGACAGACAAAGACGTTCGCTGGAATTTAGACGATAAGACAGCAGCGCGTCTACAAAACATAAACAAATCATCTTTACTGAGTATCCGATAATCAATACACGATATATCACTGTTTTCTTCTTTCAATAGATCCCTGGCCGCTGGCCGTTCTCTTTCGTTATCGTCTATTGTGTAACAAACTATTCTATAATCATTCTTACACTCATGATGATTACATTTCCAATTAACTGTCAGAAGTTATAAGCCGAGTCATGGTGACAAGTCGATAAATACGTCCAAGCAATAATATCCATAGACGTTCTCATCTAATCGTGTCTGTGTCGTCATATACATATTTACAATGAGATGCTAAACTCTGGTGGTAAAAAGAATGCATAATCATATCAGATAATACTATATGGTCATATCTCTTATGCCAGAACCATGAATGTGAAAACGTTTACCTTCTGCAGTAAAATCAACTATCCTACAGCGATTACAAATCTCATGCTAACAGTTATTCGATAACTAACTTGCTGGCTTTGTAGTCTTCGAGCGCTTTTTGAGTATCCTTGATGAAATTTTTCTGCCTCTCGCGTTCTCGATGCACGACAGCTTTCCGATTCTCGACCTCCTCGTTTAATTTCATTCTCATCCAGAACAACCGCTCCTTTAACTGTAACCCGAGAAAAAGGAATCCATCATCGATACTTTCTCCTTGATCGTGAGAACAGAGTCGAGGCAAATTTTATTCCTGGCTATTAGAAACTATAAGGATATGGAAGAATAATTCCATCACTACACAATTAAATATACATAATAGTCTTTATTAAATATGTATGTATGCGAGGTATATCTTTTCCTAGTTCTCTATACGAGGTCTGTAAGGAAGTCAGAGTTTGAGTTTATACATATGTACTACGAACATTGGTTTTTCTATAGAGCTAACTACGTGTGAAACACAACGTGTGCCCAACAAGAACAAATTTTAGATTTACTCGCTAATTATTACCTTTTGTTAGAATTCCGTTAATGAATTATAATTTATCAAGTTACTAGTGGAACTACATAATGCTAGTTTCTAAATAAATTCGTGATACTTGTCCAACCTCTGCTAAGGACATTTCGCAAAAGAGACCCAAGCCGCTGGATTCGGTAGGATCAAAGTCCTTGAAAGGCAATAATGCTCGCAATGATTGAATGGTCTTGATTTCTTCAATTAATTTAATCTTCCTTCGAGTATCCTCTTCTCTTTGTTTTACCAACTGCGCTCTTAGTTGTCGCGATTCTTCTGAAACTTCGGCGGCTGATCAAAGTAATTCCTCGTTCATAAGTAAGAAAAAATAGTAATGTCGAGAAACAGTTTACCCTTTTGTCGTTTCTCGTCGATCATGGCGTTGAAAGCATCGCGAGATGCTTGTTCGATTTCGCGGCATTTCTCGACAATTTCCGTCATTTCCTTATTGTGATTCTCCCTCCATTTCTCCAATTTCTCATACAGTTCTTGTTTCTACGGAAATATTTAATATTCTTCCATTTATTTATCTATTTAAATCCAGAGGTAAAGAAAATTTTAAGAGCAGTATTCGGATTAAACATTTATATGCAGTAATAATATTGTATATTTTTATTTAAAACACTAATATCGCTTGCAATAGTATCGAAGATATAAAACGATTGACAATCAGCGGAATGTTTTATCGCCTAAGATAAACAGATTCGTATAAGATAAACTCTATAATTTTTCGTTCCATTTCCTGAGTAAATATTCTAATGGCTATTACCACCACGTCTGGTGAAATTGAATGTTTTCTTTACAAATAAAAAGTATAAGTTTCTAATTTCGACATTTGAATCTGAATGTATGTATATTTATTTATGTTTTAAAAATGTTCCGAATGTTGTTCAAGTGAAAATAATGAAAACTGAGTTACCTCCTTTCGTACGCTATCAGCATGTTGCTTAACGTCGTCCAGCAGCGATTGTTTCGCTATAAAAGCACCCTCGCGGCTTAATAGAGCCAAAAGATGATTCTCCTGTATTTTTAACAATTCCTCTTCCCTTTTCCGTTCCCGATTCTCTTCCTCGAGCTTGGATATCAAACACGGATCGAGTCCGCCCTCCACTAATTCTTTCAATCTATGTATAATAATTAAATGCAACATTTAGATGCTGTCAAAGTACAAACGAAATATCAAACTTTCTCATTCATTTATACTTTCGGAACAAAATATTATGTGAACATTTCGAAAAATACGTCTAAATATTATCAAGCGATATAAATACATTACTGATCGAAAGTAACAGACTTTTAACCACTTATTTATACGATAGATCAGTAGTAGCATTTATCTACCTTTTTCCACCTCGTCTTAACGTAAATTCCGACACGTTTCTAATTGTAGAAAACATGGACCCAGTGTTTTTTCCCTAACTTAAAGTGATCCATTCTTTTAAATGAAATTACGTATTTTTATCATCGTCTGGTGAAAATTGTATTGGTAAAGATACCAATTAATATTTACCAATCCAATACACCATGGAAGAGGAATATTTATCGCTGTTACTATACACTATTATCCCATACTTTCGACCAGTAATTTTTATTCGTAGAATTACTTTTTTATTTCTTTCTGTTCGTCGCTTATCACGCGCGCACATTCCCTTAAAATCGAAGCTGCTGTCTGTTTCACCTCCACAGGCTGTCAAACAAAGAAATTTTACTTATAATTGAAAGGCCACAGGGGTTTCACACGATATCTGAGAAACCTCCCTTGTAAAACACTCCAATATGGATGAGAATAAACACGATCTAGGTACACGATTCACCTTAAACGTCGGAACCGATTTTCTCACGAAAACCGTCTTCGGTTGTTCTGTTTTCACAGGTTTGATCGAATCTTTACGACGTTGGAAACAACTCGGCGCATTCTCGTTCGCATCCTTCAACAAATTCATAGCGTGCAGTTTGTTCTTAGCTCTCAACAACTCCAATTTCGTCTCTGTTGATGGCTTCAGGTAGTTGGTCGGTGGAACTTGGCGTGCAAATTTCCCCATCGTCCAATCCTATCCATCATATGAGGAGTCTTCATAAAAAAAAACCTTAAAGTTTCGTTGGTTCGATCACTTAAAATTCACTTAAAATTCACTTAAAATTCACGTAAACGCGTAATAATCGATGTAAACTTTAATCCTCCATATTTCTATCTGGATCTTTTACTTCCTGTTTAGAAAATTTAAAAAAAATCAACGGTTAAACTTTGTATCGTAATAGAAGCGATCACGACATGTAGATAAACTTTGATTTAATGACTTGCATAACGTAGTATTATTTCTGACGCCGTGGTAACATTTTTTAAACTGAAATCCGCCGTTCTTTCGAACAAATAAAAGTTAATTTAGTTTAATTATCGAATAAAATATTATTGTAATTTAAGTGTTCAAGTCCATAAATACTATACATATGTATGTACATATGTAAAGACATAGAAATCTGAAAAACTGTGCTATAGAGATATCATCAGCCTTTAACTTAACATAAAATTAAAAATAATTAACTGTTCGAGTCAACGAAACAATTGCAAAATGTAAATAATCTTTGACCGCGTGACTCGTGTCAACAGGTATTATTTTCCAAAGTATACAGAAAAAAATTCCTTACTTCCGGTGTGGAAGGAGGTACTCTGAAACGGTATCTCGGTCGATGCAAAACATTCATGAATAACGGAATAGTAAGCTTTTTTTTAGGATGTTTCATTTTCTGCAACTCTTCTTTCAGATGACTCTGAAGCTTCTATCGAAAATTAACCAAGCATTATTCATTATTATATGTATCTGAAAGGAGGAATATCTACAAAAATTCTTTAACTTTTTTTTAATTTTACAAAATTTCAAAAACATTTTTGAATTTTCAGTTTACCACTATGTTGCATTTTAACTAAACTTTTCTAGTGAGTTTTATAATTACAAGAAATTGAGAATAACGATAAAATTATGTCTTATTTTTCTATACAATAATATCAAATTATTAAAATTCTTAAAATTAATCAGTCAATATAACATTCGTAATAAACGTTTCTACAATAAAATGATCATTTCAACCATTTAATTGCGAATTGTGTTTCTTATAGTACATATGTATGTATATTGTTTAGTGAAAAATGAATGAACTGAAAAAAATGAACCTCCAAGCATGGTGTCGCTTCTAAGAATGGGAAAATCAGCTTTTGTTCGACAAAGTCCTCGTCGAATACTAAGCAACCCTTTTCGTGGAAAAGATTTGACGTTTCCGAGCGAAGAAGATACGTAATAAGAAACAACATTTTTTGTATTTTAAAGTGATGAAAGCAGTCCACGGAATGTTCGAAATATAAAGCGAATGTTCTGTATGCTAGGATGTATAGAAGACCTGAAACGGTAAATTTGTTAAACAATTACTAGAAAAATTTAGTCTCGAAGAGACTGTGAAAGCTTTAAACGACAAGAGCAAGTTATAGTATAAATAGGGATTAAAAAATATTAATTATTTTACAATAATGAGAAAAATTGCAGTAATGAAATAATAGAAGATGGGGATATATGTAATAATAAAAGTAACTTTGTAGATGTTTCGAAAAATATATGCCCTTTCATTGAGAAGAAATACATAAATATGTAATTAAGAAACCGCTTACCCATGGTTTCGTTTAAGTTATCGGTATTCCGATGATGTCGTTTATTAAATAAATCTTTGCTTATTGCTTCCAAAAATTGTTCGTAACGAGTAATGTTTATAAATAAATCGACGATTACATTCTGTACCGAATCCGACAGAACCTTCAAGAACGCAAAATATAAGGGTTAGATATTATCTATATCGAGCCAAAATAAAATCATAAAATGATAAATATATTTCTTAAGGGAGCATTATTAACAGCAGTACATATTAACAATTTAACAAGAGACTTTAACCTTAAACTCTTGATGATTAACGAAAGAACGCTTAATCGGGTTTAATTCGAATTGGCATTTCTCTGTCGGTTCATCTTTCGCGAACAACAAGATACAAAATTCATCCGGACTTAATTCGCGCTTCATCGGCACATAAATGTCCAAAAGTTTCATCAACGGAATTAAAATACCAAGTTGAAAGACATTCGTTTTCCCCAACTGAAATACACGAGTATAATTAATACCGAGAACTTTTCACGTAAACTTGAAAACATACCTCATCCTTCGTGCAATCCATTTCTAATAAAGCAAAAATTACATTCCTAACCGAATACAGCACCAATGCAATCAGTCATTTTCCGGACAAGGCGTCTAGAAATTTTTTATTGAAAATTATTCCAAGGTTCTGTGAAACTTCAGGTTGCAATAATGTACATGGTAGATACATGTATGTACGTATATTCCGAATGTTTACATTATCGGTAACTCTATAATATACATAGATACCATTTGTATAATTGAAAACATTTAATAAAGAAGAATTGATAATAGAAGCTATTGTAATTCTAAAAGTGAAGTTATGGTATAGTTGAGTCACCTTTATTAAAAATTTGTTTATGGAATACTCTATTAGATTAGTATCCTTTTTCTCGCTATCGATTGAACATATTAATAATTTAATACGAATCCCATGGCACCATTGTTATACATATAGCGTATAAAATAATATATTAATTCAAATAGTTTTTTAAAAGATTTATAGAAACATAAGTCTGGTTTTCTTTTAACCCTCGCTTGAACTTTTTCTTCAACAGACGCCCTCTGTAAATTCAAACTCTTTAATGTAACTAATTTCACTTTTCTGATATCGTTACGTTAAATTCTTGATCAAATAATATATATAATTAACAAAGGTTGAACTATCAAAGAAAATGTATATTTTTCCCAAATGCTTTATCATTGTGTACACGTTCGCGTATAATAATGGCATCATAGAAGAAACGTTTACTATTAATTGAAAATAATTGAAAAACTGGCATCAACAATGTTTTTAGTAACGAAAATAATTGAAGTAAATATTATTCGATATGACAAGTATTATCCGAATAACGATAAAGAAAAGATTAACCCTTCCGGAGCCGTTTAATTATCTTTCTGAAATATACATATCGTAGAATGGTCGAAAATGTAATCGTTTTGTCATCGAGTTGTCATGTAATAAATCCGAAAATAGGAATTTAACAGAAGTTAATAATGACACGAAGTTATTGTTGCGAACGTGCTGGAAACTATTATCAACGATCCCATAAATTCTTCCGTCCAAACAGCATTCAGTAGGAACAGTACAATTTAAAACAATTTATTCGCCAAATAATAAGAGATCGAGCAACATTGAATACATCGGTACATGAATAGACAATACGTTTCGTGACCCTCCAAGAATAGAAAGGCATCACTTTACACCGCAAATAGCAAAAAAAGACACCTCGTTATTTATACGTAGGTACATATAAAGTTTCCCTGAGAGAATTTGTACTCCAAGGTAGCACAATAATTTGTACTTTACCTTCTAACATCGACGATTCGCTTAAATAATTAATACTATATCGGTACAATGCGCCTACAAAAAATCTCAGAAATCCAGAGCATTCCACAATCGACATTATCCATGGAACGAATAATGTATCGGGACAGCGAATATCTTAGAAAGTGTCACTGTAAAATATTATTCTTACAACAACAATACAATTTCATATCTCGAATCATTACGATAATTGGCATTTTACAACGCGTGTACTACCAGATCAGTACTTTTCTTCATAATCTCCTGTAAATTCTTAATAATATTTTATACTTTGTTACTCGACAAAACTCTTTGTCCGTTTAATTGTTTTTTTTTTCTTTTTATTTCGTACGACAACGATTACGAATGCTCTTTTGCTAATTCTTGCGCACGAGAAGATCATTCCACTTTTGAAAACGGCTGTGAAAGTTTTACACCGTTGCAATTTAACTTTCTGCTTTCCTTTTTTCTTTTCTTAAACATGTTTTTACCACGTTTGCAGCGGTACTACTATCTGTCTATTACATATAGAAAAAGTTCGGTATTGGAGTAGATTCGTCGATCTATGACAACGTACAATCAAACAATATCCAATTTTTCGTCGTATTCTTCTGTTTCTTTTCTTTTCTTTTATAAATATTGATCACACTGCGAGAGAAAAATAAATAAAATGTACAATTAAAACGATGTTACATCGATTATTTACAGATACGATTTTCACCACCTCGAAGGTGTGTCTGTGCGCTATGAAATGAATTCGCAAATATTCTCGAGAGTATGATAAAATTGCATGACCTTACGATAAGTGATTTTGTAACGATAACATTATGTGACGTATATTGACATTAATTCATAATTCATTCTATCTCATGGTGACCAACAACACACGGTTGCTGTACTATATTTGTGTTCAATATTCGGGATCGTTCAAGTTTTAAAATAATGACTGTACAAAAAATATATTGCTCGTTTATTCATCTCGATAGTTTGAAACGCTGATCACCCAAACGCAACTACGTTACCATTATATTTCTCACAGCTACAACGTAAAGTTTGCAATTTATGCATCCGAGAAACTCGATCAAGCCTTCGGGAAGCTATTGAAACAGTCCGTGAACTTGATCCAAGCTATCGTAAGCGAGAACTCACTTGTAAGTAAGTAAGTAAGTAAGTAAGTAAGTACTTACGTGTTCAGTAAAATCTACAGAGTTTTGTCTTTTATATCACACGATCGTCGAGTACGATTACAATTCACAAAGATTAAAAAAGTGATCAGCATATTGTCTGGTTCGATGTACATTTTTTTTTCTTTTTCTTTTTTTCGTTTTAGTTCGTACGAGCTACGTATCACGGTAATTACAGTCAGTTTTTATTTTTATATAGACTCTGTATATCTTAATCAAATAGCCTACTATAAATCTACGGCATAATCTTATGGCTAGTTTTACGTCGCTTTCAGGAGAGAAAAACAACTATGCTATAAATTTCTGTGTGGGTTATGATGTTACGTGCACGGTAATTCGATTGCTGTTACCAGCTTCGGAATCTTCCTATCAGTCTCTGTTTATTTCAGATACAAAGGAGATGGTAAACATTTTCCCGTTAAAAACTATTCGAAATTTCAATAGTCTAGTAACCTCGCGAAAAACGTTCGAATCAGTAAGCGCGAGAGAATTGAATCTGTTCGAGCCACCCTAGTGGCCATATTTGTAACATTGATAAATATCTCTCCGATGTGTCTGTAACGTGGTATTGCAAATTGCTGGAGAATTGTTTTCATTCCAGTGTAAATAAATGAGAAAAAAAGAAACAATTCCTCGGAATACTTGGCGGTACAGAAGGTACTTACTGGAAAAGCCCGATAATAAAATTAACAACGCAATAGATCCCACTTGTGCTGATCGAAAACAGGAGTATCGGACTAATAAATAATAATGGTCTGCAAAAATTATACGAAAATTCTGGCTCTTCCAACAATCATCGTCTATGATGATATATATTTGCGTAGATGTCATGATCCGTTGATTTCGCGTGTGTACAAGTAAAATTAACAACAATTTATACAACATGTAACCTAAATTAGTTACTAAACGCCCGAACGATCGCGTTCAGACTTTCGTACGTTCCAAATACGAAGCCTAAGAAACCGATCACTATTATAGTAATATCTTTTGCTATCGTGGAAAGCCCGAGGGACGTGTGTTGCCACCAGACGACCATTTCGATGATCGGCGGGAATATGAGTGCTAGTGCTGTGCTGCTTACTGCACCCACCAACGATATGAACAGGCCCAATTTAGGTATTGCCTCTGCTAGGACAACTGCAACAGAGCAATTACCATCAATATTTCTTTCTGCTATACATATATGTACATACATATGTATGACCTATGATGATAACAAATTCATTCATTATTTAGCTACAGTAATCATTATCGGTGACCGGAATTTTATTTTCGTTATTCATAACCATTATCAATGGCAAAACAATTTTTGGTTACCGGTAAACAATATGAACAGCAAAATTTTCTCTAGCTACACTCGATCATCGTCAATTCATATTAACATTATTATATCTATACATACACATACACATATGTATACATATGTACATATAAAATAGAACGATTATTTTATTACCGTACTATTGTACATGTACTTATAGTAACTTTTAGAAAAATGCAATTTTTGAAAAACTGAATACGATCGAGAAATTTGAATTTCAGTTATGGTTTCAACACATGAGAACCCTATTTTTCTTAAATTTAACTCTTGTGTCTCGAAAATCTAACGTGATAGAGTTTCATCGCTATATGTACATATGTACTTACTCGAAGTAGGGAAATTTCCCAAATTACATTAGAAAATACATTATTACAAGTAAAATACTTGAGAGAATAATGGCGAAGAGAAAAACGATTATACTTTCGAAATTGTAAAATATTCCATCACAAACATGGTGTATCCAGTATACAATTTGATGTGTTTTTTTTTTTTCATGTGAAAATAAATCGAACGACTAAAATGGATTGTATGTATATGTACGGAGTTAGTTGAATCTTTCCTGTGTGCTTAAATTCGTAATGTATGAACTGATATGAACATTAATGAAAATTATGTTAAATTTTCAACTTACATGTAAGGAAGCATAACACTGAGCGGAAAACAGTCTCCGATAGAACTGGCCACGTGAAGGGGCCAAATTGCTCGACGATCTTCGGCCACATGATCGCAACAGGAACGTAAAATTGGAGTGCATACGTGAGTAATATACTCAACGAGATGGCAATTTTTATGCACTGAGGTAAGCTGTAAAAGAAAAGAAGGATTAAAACTCGACGAAGGTGTTCGTAAACGCGGCTTCCAGTATTCCATTTCCATCGTCACATCATCAAAATATACAATTATTTCTATGTATGTATGTTAAGTAACACTACATGCAGAATTAGTCGACCACAGAATAACGCAGAAATCCACGATCGTTAATATGGTGGATAAAAAAAAAAAATAAACTGATATAAGTAGTATGTATTTGTACGGTACGGCACTTGTATAAAAAAGAACTATATGGTAGAAACCTTGAATGGTCGACGACGTTTTTCCCATCCACCCTTCGTATGCAACAGAAAATTATGTTACAAAGAGTTTCTCTTAACTACGTGTGCGTCTCGCTATTTTTCGCTATCATTTTGTGTGATAGAATTTTGATTATTCATAACGCAGTACGATTTATCACCTGGACGCATAAAAGTCTACTATAGAATCGGTAAAACGATTTTGGTTTAACGTCATTAATAACCATTAAGCGTTTAGGCAACACAACAGTTGTTAACCACTTGCGTAATTTCATAAATACTAAAATATTATTGGGAAGAATTGTTTTAGAAATAGAAACTTATTTTCGAAATCGAGACTAATTTTAACAATTACTACCCGCATAATTTTAGCGAGTGATTAACATTTCCATACATTTACCGAAATATCGATAGGAGAGTGATTTTATCGGCCGTGCAAAAAATAAAATACGTCGAGATATAAATAAAAAGTAAATAAATTTATACTTACACTTCTGTCTTTTCGAGATTTAACGTAACAGAACCAGCGACCGCCTCGCCGTACTTTAAGTACGACATGAAACCCATCGCGACGAACATTGCACCCACAATGACCATTCCGACATTTAGAACACCAAGTGTCTTATTGAAATTACTTGGTTTCTTCATTTCATTCTTCAGTGGTAAAACCTGGAACGCAATAGCATCGATTAGTAACTGAATTTTAAACTGCCTAAATTTTATTTACAATCGATAACGAACAATTCTGCTATTATACATAAGGAGCAATTACTAAACATGTGTTTAAATTCCTGTAATTTTTCAGACACGTATACCCGTGTTAATATTTTTTATTTTCTGCAATTATTCTATGGAAAATAAAATATTCGAATTTTAAATTAATATAATTTTTAAGCAGGTAAATAAACTAGGAAACATACTTATTGTTTATCGAAGTTGCCCGAGTGTTTCGATTAAAAATATTTATTGAAATAATTAATTACTAGTTATTCATTCCATCGTTCGTATCCCATTTGCAAATATGAATTCTCTGGTATTTAATCTCACTGTACTTGAACACAAAATAAAACTTGGACTTTGATATATTAAATAAAAGTACGTACATGTAAAAAGAAACTATTGAATTTGAATAAGGTTCACGATTATTCCAACAGCAGTGAACTTAAAATTTCTTAGAAGCAAATTCTTACATACAAGTAGTAAATACATAACTGCATTTCAGACCGAAGATATCATTTTTTTCCCAACACGTGGAATAATTTGAATAATTACAATAATTAAATATTGTATCTTGGACTATTCACAAGAAACATCCCACCAAGTGACACCGATCTTTAGTACAGTTTTATCCTTATGTAAAATAGGTTTAATTGTACACATGTTTCTTTGAAGAAGAAGAATAAATTTAAAATGACGACACTTTTGTCTCGACACAACTTCTTTCTGACAAAGTATACATATACTCTGTGACACAATGTCAAGTATCAGGTATCATTCTAAGATGCATTCAGAAGGCTAAAAACTTGAATCGCATTAAAGTCGAATTTGTTATTTCTCATATTGTTTCCAAGATATTTACAGGAGGAACCTTGAGGTGATTTAATGTCGGAAAAGCGTCAGTGTCTGAACGCAATTTTCAAAGTATTTTCGTAGAAAGAAGCGTTCTGAGCGTTTGAAGCGTTGGTTTGTAGGGAAGAAATTTTTTATTTAAAATGCCTACAGAGAGCTTGGAACGAATCGATGTCAGAGGAAAGTTTCGCTACCTTAAATAATTTCCCAAGTCCTTTCGTGCAGAATGCTAACACTTAAAAATGATTTATTTAATATCGGACAATTTGAACTTGTCGAAAAATGTTCAAGATATGTAGAGAAGCGAGAAGAAATCTTGGAATAGATTAAAAATATGAGTACATATTTCTTTTTTTGGAGTGCTTTCGCATTCGCAAAAGAGGTTCAGGAATATTCGAATGTGAGAAAGTTGGTTATTTGTCCGTCGGTTAACGTAAATTTGGTCAGTGTCAGCGTGTCAGAGAGTTCACAGATGCTGCTGTTTGTTAGGGAAAGGAGTGTGACGGCGGAATTGAGTTGTTTTGTCGCCAAATTGATACGCGTTGCATAAATACAGTGGAGCACGTGTGAGACGACAGACGCTTACCAACGTGATACCCTCGAAAGAATATATCACAGTGCCAAAGAATAGAGGCAGGTTGTGCCAATCGGCTATGTACCGCCTCTCATGGATGGGTGGCAGATCGTAGCACATTATATACATGGTGGCGATGTAGCCAGCGGCAACTAAAAAATTCGCCAACGAGGAGATGGGTACCAGGTACTTTAGGTTCCTTATCCACGTGCTGAGCAGTATGGGAATCAGGATTACAGCCATGTGTTCATGGACGTTCATCTGGACTCCGTACACGTCCCCCACCTGCCGAAAATATTCTTTTTCATTGTTGTTTTTTAAACAAACAATAGATTGTATATTGCAATTATTATACGTTGAAAAACTCACCTGCTTCATATTCGTAGCAATGAAAACGAAATATACGCAGCAAAATCCGAGTTGCGTGATACATAAAAATACATTAACCAATTTTCTGGAACAAAGCGACATCGTCAAAGTAAATATGACATCGTAAATGCGAATAAAATTGATATTTAAATATTGTTTTGAACGATATTGGAAAACTGTTGATTCAACAAAGATGTTGATTCTTACTATTCCATCCACAGTCGGAGCAGAGAATATATTAGTTTCATTTCATATTTTTTAATAAACATACGTTCAAAGTAACAGAAATTCCAGTTGACCCTCTATTGCATTAATTCTGTTTTATTTCTCGAAAAAGAAATAATTAAAAAGAACATACCTAAAATCTGTTAAATTTCTTCGGTAAACTTTATAAAAATATTTATATTTAATTTTTAAGTAATCAAATTTTATATTACACAACATTGTACAGAGTAGAAACAATGTGTTTTGCAGCTTTTGTAAATAAATTAAATGCGTCGATGGCGATACCACCCTAATATGTACTAATAATAAATCACCCCTGTAAAATCGAGGGATTGTTACTAAAAATTGTTAAAGCGGAAAAAAGGAAAGATTACGAGTTTAATGAAATGAATCCGTTTTGTGATATCGATGGACCGTTAACAGGATTAATTTTAAGCTGCGTCGCGTCTCAAAATAAGACATCAGACGGATTTTGAGTATATGTAATGGTAAACAAACAGAGGATGGTGTCCCTGTTTAATCTTCTGCCGACACACATACATACGAACCTCATATGCACAGAGTATTTTCGGAGTGAAAGAGGTCCGGTGGCGAAGCAGAGTTCCACGGTATCAGCGAATCCACTGGTAGCGTTTGGATCATTAACGCGACGCCTTACCTCTTCGTTGCACTGAATCTGTAACCATTCGATCACGTACTTACATTATCATACAACAATTACAAACATTATCTAGGAAAAAAAAAACGGATCGAAAATATAGAGTAAGATTAGTTCGTTCGAGGCTATATTTTCGAATTGAAAAAGAAATGAATTTTACGTACAAGAATGTGCTGGGCGTGAACACAAATGACACCAAGGAAGATCGTGAATGGTGGAGCCAGGAGCAGTCCAGCGTGTTTGAAAGCATCGCCCAATGCAAATATTCCCGAGCCGACGTTACCTTTGAACAGGTGCATCATTGTTTCCAAATACCTGTAATAATTCATCGTTCATCGTTGCAAAAACTGTGTAAAAAGATAAAAAAAACTTTTTTTTACCGTGTGTATAATCGAGTAGTGGATGATTAAACTACCTTTTACAATATTTGTCCGATAATGAATTGAAAATTACTTGATAGAAAATTAGTTGAAAGCTGGTGTACAGAAAGTTTGGTAGAGTTGACAGGAAATTTTCCAAGCATTCCCGCGTCTCGTCGCGCGAGCTAATTTAAAATCACCGGCGAATGAACCGGCCGACCGAGTTTGAAAACGCTCGCCTATGTCCCTTCTTGCGATTTTATATCGGCGAATAAACACGTGCCGGTTCTACTCCGGGATTACATATCGTTATATCCATTCGCGAGTACGATCATTCTTCGAATAAGAGCAACCAAAATAGATATCCGCTACGAAAATAAAGTTAACAAATTCCGTTTGAAATCTCTTAATATTTCCATAATATTTTTTTTATTGTTCTCACCCAAGGCCCTCTGTGTAGCAAAACGGTAAAATTACAAAAAGAATATCACATATGAAAATTCAATTTTATACGAATAAATTTTATTTAACCGAGCATTTTCATTCGAAAGTGTTAAAAAATTCCCTGAAAAACAGAATAGAAACAACCGTTTGGTGTTTCTATTCTTCATCAAACGCGACAATTGTTCGCCATTTTATTCAATCAACGTCTCAATGAAACTGGTAATTACGCAATCGATTAATATACTATTAACGTCTTCGCGACACGAACGATTCGCTAAATGAAGAGTTAAATGTGGAAATTACGCGAACCTAATGGGAACCAATGCCAAAATATGTATTTCGAGATACATCTTCGGCTTTAGCGGCTGTAAGCAAAACCTTAGGCTCGATGCTTCTCGTTAATCGTGTTCGCTGACGTTGGCACCATCCAACTGTCTAAAAGTACTAGCTGAAGATCGATCGAAATACATACATACATACTTTTGTACGGAAAAGAAGAAATAAATATCAGTTATCCGAGCTGTGAATTCTTCGTTTAAACTTTCTAGAGTGTAATTTCTCGTACGACGAAGGAAGACGACGATGGCTCGTTTAGAAAACCACCGTGCATTATCATACTTGTAATTCATGTCCCTATGAATTATTTCATATTGTGATTTTCATTAATGTTGCGCATGACTCGGAAATTAAGGAAATTGCTGTTGCGCGTGACGGCCATACATGATCCGGTACGATGCGATTTGAAAAGTCCACTTCAAGCGTGCCAACAATTACGTTCTTATTAAAAAAAAACTGGACGATTTCGTCCTCCCCATAATTTAAGATCGCGAAACGATTCGAAGAATTAAACGTATTACGACTTTTTACATAAAATTTTATTAAAGTTCCTAGTTACGTTAATATCGTCAAATATGTAGATAGGAGTAAGTACGTACGTACTATACTATATGTCAGAATTTTTAATCTTCGTTTTAAAACTATACGTAGATACATATGTATATGGTGATGTAACTTGAAAGTGCAACTGACAATGAGTTATGAAGGGTTGTGCGGTGCGCACTGTGTTCATTGTTATCTTCACGATGGTGTCCTTACGAAAAGATCCTGGATCGAAATATTTAATCCGCGAGAATGCCTCCCGCAAACGGAATGCGAGGTTAAGAACATTTACTCGAAGCATACGTGACGTACATACATACATACATACATACATACATACATACATACATACACGTTACTTCAAGGTCTCCAAGTATGTACATACTGCACTTTAATTGCGTGCGACGATTACGTTGGGGAAAAAGATCCAGGCCTGAACGGTGTGATTTAATTGCTGCAATGACGGACAATAAGTTCGTAGGAAAGACCCATTAACTCTCAAATTATCCTGTCGCTTCGAGTGCAAAAAGGAAGGACGCTTAGACAACAGAGTATGTCAAATTTACGCGATTCTTGGAAAGTAATATGTACTCGAGAACGTGGCGGAAAACTACGATTATCCTGATTCATCGCGACGATACGCGCCGTATTATGTACTTACTTCCTTCCTCTTCGTCTAAAATACCAGTACGCCACTTTAGAAACACGTCAAGTTTATAAAAAAAAGAAAAACCAGAAGTTTATCGTCAAATTTTTCTTAATAAATTTAACTAGAAATATTAGAGAAATATTATCTATCTAGAAAAAGAACTTCTATACCATACATATACATATGTACATGTATGTATATCAAATTTGATAGATTTTAGTTGGAAATGTGTTAAAAATTTCACCTTGGTATGCTAAGTTTAATAAACGTTTTTTTAAATTTACGATGCAATGAATAAATTGCAAGCAACAAGTTTAACGTGAAACAATCTCTTGACTTTCTTACAACGATTTCCTAATCCTAGGTTATATCGTAGAAAGTTCAGATCCAAGATCTGCCTCACAATCGAGGCGTTCTCGAGCCTTTGTAGTCAGCTGTGAGAACGAATAAGAAACGGTTAGAGCCCTTTACCATACTAACCGAGAATACGGTATGACTCATGCAACTTGCATGAGTCATACCGTGTTCCGCCAAATTAGTCAGGTAGATCTCCAAAACGGTATGGCTATACGTTTCTCAAACAAGAAAAAATACAAAAATTATAAGAACCAGTGAATTATTCGAAACTGATTCCAGTTTCAAATATTGCATACTAGAAACAAAATCACCGATACCATGATTGTAAATAAACTAATCAAAAGTCATATTTCATGTCGAAATACCTAACAAATCACATTCTATATTATTCTGTGAGACTGTAACTATGTACATAATGCCAAAATTGTATAAATAAAATAATTTAACAAATCCTTGGAAAATGTCTAAAACTGTCCTTGCCACGTATTGTAACATTAATTATTTTGCAAAATTTTATAAGCTATAATATTTTCTCTGTATAATCTTTACTTTGTTGTATTATTTCTTTTTGTGCTCAAGAGTTTTTTCATAATATGTTATAATATATGTATGTATGTATGTATGTATTTTAAATCGATCCTGAAAATTGCTCGATGGACGTTGAACGTCTCGAGGCGAAGAAATAAAGGAACGAAAGTTGAGTTTCAAGGTTATTGTACTTACGAGGTCGGATGGTTGACGGAAACGCCATGTTCGTTAGTTCCGCCTTCCATGTCGGCGCCCTTCTCGACCGCCAAAATAGGATCCTTCGACTGAAAGGCTCCGTACGTGCTGCCATTTCTGCAAAACAGTTATTCTCGTTCGTCACTTTTCACCTTTCATTGTTTTTCCATACATATTAACCTACCATTACACGAAATTGTGTAACGTGATCTGCTACACTTTAATGATAATTGTAATACTGTTCTTCCCATCAGCTCCTTTTTTAATATTTCTCGAAATAACGTTCTTTAATATTCGTTAAATCAATATTTTGTCAACCAGTGTTGAAACTTCCGACTAAGACGATGTAAACTTACACGCAAGATAAAAATAACCTTACAACAGAATTCCCGGAGACTTTTTCACTTTCAAATCTAGTAAATTTTTCGTTCTAATAAGGGAACTGAACAAATTTGAAAATGTCACTGAAACATGTTGAAATAAACCTTGTAAATGTTGACCGAGGAAGGTGTTATAGTTTATTTGTAAAGAGCTCCTTGAGAAAGTTTATGATAAGAATTGTTGGGAATTATGAAGCATTAAACTTAAAACTAGTACCCCAGATTAAGAACCACTGACGTAGAACGTTAAAAGGAAGTAATTTCGTAAAAATGTTGATAACGTAAATTCGCATGATGCAAAGGTACTAATGAGATTTCTAATTATCGAATGGCTCTGTAGGACGGAAACCGGAGACTAGTCGCAACAAGTACAAACTAGAATGCAACGCTAACGACTCGCTTCTGTATAAAGTTACATACGTCTACCCTTTCCCATGAACGTCAAACCAGTTGTTAGTAAGATTTACGATTACCATACCGCGTTCTACCCGTAGACTTCGTGACGCTAATGCACGCGAATCGGATATTGCGACGTTGGCGATCCGCTTCCAACTAAATACATTAACATTTATACTTTTGTGCGAATTCTAGTTAAAACGTTAGTCATGTCGATGTCAAAATAATTAGAACAATAGTTGCATCATTCTTTCCTCGAACTCCACTCAAACGTACTACAAAAGAATCAAACCGATAGACAATAGATATAGATTTTCCAATTATTAATATGCAATAATAAAGAAATAGAAAATGACCGAAACAAATAGAAATTATATGACCTTTATAGTAATTATAATACATATATTAGTTATAAGAAAGTTATTTTTTAAACGTGTCAAGTTTAAATAACAAGCAAATTTTCCTTATCGTTATTTTTCCAACAGATTAGAAATATCCTTGGAAATTGCGAACAAAAATATTCTTTTCATTCTCATCGTTCCAAGTCAGAAGATTGAAGAGTGAAAGGGAAAAAGAATATATGTATGTATGTACATACCTACGTTAGAAACGTATTTTAAAATCTGTTGATCTTTTTTGCTTTCACTTCCGGTACATATCGAATTATCAAAGTACAATCGATTTTATATTGTGAAAATTGCTTACTAATTTGGTGAAAATTAGCAATTTTCAAGGAGAGAAAATCTGTCGATGATGATATGATGCCTTTACGAATAGAATGCATCATGGTCAGTGCGGTATAGTTGCACGAATGAGTTAAACCGGTGAAAGTGACAGTCTAGTCTGCTCTTTATTGCAAGACCTGCATCCTGTATCCGATATTAACATTTCAAGGTAAACACCCTTTATACTCGTCAGAAACGGCATTTCAGGCCGCACACGTATTTTATGCAGTATAGTGACACGAGGCGGTCAATTTTCCAACTTGTTACGCTTTATTTATCCGTTTGAAAATAAGTAAAATGTGACGAGACCTTTACAGTAACTACAATATTTATTAGTTATAGGAAAGCCAAAGTGAGTGAAATATCCATACGTAAATTTTAAATAGCCACAAAAGTTTCCTTATTGTTATTTTTCTAATATAATATTAGAAATATACTTGAACATTTTTAAATAATATTTATCATCCTTTGACAATGCTATCTGACATTTTCCTGTCAAAACCGGCGAGTCTGTAATTAAACTGACGTAATTTTCGTATTCACGTTACTTTACCTAACCCAAAAGGTATTTATTAACTCTAAACAATAATATAATAGTATCTTTTAAAAAATCAGCATACGTAAAAATAATTTAATAGTCGGAAATGACATTGTTCGTGGAAGTTGTCACACGTGCTTGTTATTATACATTCGCAAATAAAATATCGTTGAACAATGTGCGTGCGTTGCTAATAGCGAATCTCTGAGCCATAAATAATTGTGTACAACAATTAAAAATCTAACGTCCGGCCATCTGGTAGTGTTTATAAGTAGTGTCTTTTAAGATAGTATCGATTACGCAACGAGTAAGAAAACCTCGATTCGTTCGGCGCAACATCGTTCGATGCACACATCGATCTGCATAATTGTCGCTTCGACCTTATGAGAAATTGATTAACGAGTGAAAACCGAATCGAGTGGAAGTTTCGTGGTTCGATGCTAGATCGAAATATCGTTGGGTGCCAAGCAGCTACATACGTCACTCTTGGCTCTGCACTTACCATTGAAACAGGAACACGTAGGTATGTACATATGTATAGGTATAAACTCGACAACATTTCGCAATTTATTCGTTTAATACTACTTACTAGTCGAATCTTCGAACTATTTCGGTCATCGACGATCTGGATAGCATGCATCACGCAATCTTTCCGAAAGGAAATCTTTTGCCATTAAATAAACAGTCTTATTAGAACCACACCAATTAGAACAAAAACCGTATGTAACATCGTTTGAAAACAATAGGAAATATTAAATCCAGTGGTAAATAAGAAATCCATGAAATGAGAGAGAGAGAGAGAGAGAGAGAGAGAGAGAATTAATGCTTAAGAAATTTTTAAACGAATCAGGAAGCAATATTCACAACAGATGGATGAAGCTGAACACACTGTTGAAACGACTGAAATACTATTTCCAAGGCACCGATAAATCGCAAACATTTCTATAAACGTCACATTCTGTCACGTAATTCGCAACACTTATTAAGCATCGATAATCTTAATAACATATAGAATTCTTCAGTCTGTTTCGTACGAGCCTCATTGACCCACATTTGATGAGGAATACTATAAGAAGATGAACAGGATGAGATTAATGCAGCGTTGGAAGATTACATACTCGCGTTCCGGTAATAATTTTCTTATTAGCAATATGGATGTTACATAACATGCAGTTACGCGACATTCTAACATAGTGAATTACTGAACCGTCCAGGTGACGTTTGTTTACAACATTCTGGAAGAATTCAATTTACTATTGTTACGCCCACAATTTGATAGATTAGAAGAAATATTAACGAAAAACAATACTGTTTCTCTAATAAACGAATAATCATTTTAGTAAAAATGATGTTTATTTACCTGTGAGGTTCCTTCAGCGTCATTTCGTCACCACGAAAGCTACTCTTCTTCATGTTGGGGCTATTATGCATTTCCATCTGTAAAAATAAATAATTAAATCAATAGTAAAGTACTAAAACTATGACGAAACTGTACAATAAATAAATGAAAATCGATACGAAATTCTATTATATTTAAAACGAGGTTTCAATAATCGATAATATTTTTTCCTTCCCAAACGAATAGGTAATAGGTATGTATAGTTAAAATCAGTATCATTTATCTTATATGTACTTGCTGGAAACTTTTATTTATTTATTTATTTATTTATTTATGGGCAAAACCCATTGATTAAAAAAATTACAAAATTACAGAAGATGATTGTTTATTTAACCTCGAAATTTCTCAAAAGATACATTAAAAAAAAATCAACAGATACTACATATTTATTGGGTAGATAACATAGAAATTTTGTTCTGATGAAAAATTCTTAGTAATTCTTAATAATTGCAATAAAATCGAACCATATAAGAATATGTACATACGTCAGACACATGTTAGAATACATTATCTAATTAACACTTACACAATAACTGATAGACTGTTTCCTATACTATGGCGAGCAAACTTCAGTTTACTTCTGAATCAATGTCCCCGAGGAGAGATACATATGTATATGTAGCAATCGTTTCATAATATTTGATAAGATCCGGATATGACCTTCAAGAAATTCGACGATTAGAGAATTCGAAATAGTTTGGGTAATTCATGCTTGTATAATTTAAATTATACGTTCGATTTTACAACTCGAACGACTAATATTTTATTTTCGTTTTACATAGAAATAGGAAAGACTTAATAAATAAGATAAAATAAAAAAGATTTTGTAAATGTAATTTTAAGGTTGTAATTTAATCAATGCGGATGTTTTATCATTTTAGCCAAGACACAAATATTATACAACTACCATTAATTACGAAAATATTTTTTATAATTATTCCTACTGCGTCATACATATGTACCTATTTAGCCAGAATACCGAATGATAGAAATGATGTATGTATAGCTGATTTTAGAACGGCAGAAAATTGATATTTTTTTCTATAATTTTATTTAAATTTTGTTTAATACGTACATATGTAAGTATGTACATATATTGATTGTGGCTATTGCAATATTTTGTCGGCCATAATCGAGTGTCTGGGGACTGTAACGCCTGATAGTAATCGTATCAAAGCAAAGCCTTCTGCAAATGCAATCCACCGAGTATCGCATTTATTGATAATCGCTAGTTTGTTGACAGCGTTATTCATTTCGCTGAAATTCCATGTTCGTGAGAACGAAACCACGTGCGTCCGTTAATTAAACTCCAACAATGGCGGCGCTCCTGCTTTTCTTCGACAACGGTCGATCGAATTAAGGTCGCACAGAGTCAATGAGAGACACACGATCCAGTATCTCACGGAAACGTGACTGAACATCTGTCCAACGATTTCCTTCGATTATCTTCGCTGTATTATTCCGCTATCATCGAATAACAAATGATATTTCACTCTGGACATTAACAGGTGAACACAACACGCCAACAAAGTAATTACAGTAAATGATAGCGCAGATTAAAAAAACATTCCATAATCGATCTTTACGCTATAGGTCTTCCTCAGGAATGTGTTAATAATGTTTTGCAAATCGAATAAAAATAATTAGATAAATTGTTACTTTTTTCATTATTGATATAAATAAATAATATTTTGTCGATATTTTAGAATAGTTTTGCTCCTGTTAAAAGACAAAGCTTCTGTTTTTTCAAAGACGTTTTTATACTCGGATGCAGAGGGAGAAAAAGAAGATGGTTGTTCTTTTCACGATTAATTTTACAATGCCTTTAAAAGTTTATGTACGACCTTTTCTTATACAAATGTCGTTCTTCTGTGTATACAATTCTAGTATTTTGTTTATAATAGAAATAAAATAGTTTTTTTTTTAAATTGTACACATTAATTCCCTCTTTTTTTTTATTATTCCTTAATTATTTATTATCTTTTCGTTAGTATTATTACCTTAAATTTCATCCACATTATAAACGTGAAATTTTCCCCCTCAAATATGTATACGTATATGTATGTACATATGTAAGTATGTACATATTTTCTTACAATACAATATTCATCGATTGCAGAATATGTATTCTCGGATTTACGGATAAAATCGATGTAACATCGAGATGAAAAATAGATGTAGATATGTAAATCATAGACGCGAGAGGTCTTGAACAAAGTTACAATTATCGTTAATTAGCATAATCGCGTTCGTCGTAAACGTGTCCGCGTGAAACTAGTTCGATCAACATATCCTTTAGTCGCGTTCGAGTAATATTCCGTGGTTAATATTTTGCGACGCGCGAAACGATTCGTAGAGGAAAATGGCGAACGTATATTATTGTTTGACATCCATTAAGTAATCCGTGCGTGTCTGCGATAGATTTAACTCATCCATGACGAGCTACGAGAAATGACACACC